CGACTGTTTGTGAGACATTGCTGTGCGCAATTGGCTGCCGCGATCGCCCACAAATATACAGTCAATTCACTTTACAGTATATTCTGTGAAACGCTTTGGGACGTCTAGAAGACGTCAAAAGTGCTACATCAAATGCAAGGATTATTATTATTATTAATGTAGGGAAGTGCGAAGTCATCCATCTAGGTAGCAAAAACAGTAGAGCGGGTTATTTTTTAGAAGGGGAGAGATTGGAATATGTTAGCGTCCAGAGGGACTTGGGTGTCCTTGTACACCAATCACAGAAAGTTAGTCTGCAGGGGCAGCAGCAATTAGGAAGGCGAACGGTATGTTCGTATTCATTATGAAAGGATTAAGAGTATAAGAGTACGGAAGTCTTGCTGCAACTGTATAGGGCCCTGGTGAGACCACACCTGGAATACTGTGTGCAGTTTTGGTCTCCTTATTTAAGGAAGGATGTACTTGCCTTGGAGGGGGTGCACCGTAAATTTACTAGGTTAGTACCAGGGATGAAGGGGATGAGTTACGAGGATAGGTTGACCAATTTGGGCCTATATGCTCTAGAATATAAAAGAATTAGAGGGGATCTTATAGAAACCTATAAGATCATCAAAGGGCATGATAAGAGTAGATAGTGGGAGATTGTTTCCCCTGGTTGGAGAAACTAAAACCAGGTGTCACAACCTTAAAATCAGAGGCCAGCCCTTTCGCACTGAGTTGAGGAAGAACTTCTTCACTCAAAGGGTGGTGAATGTATGGAACTCACTACCCCAAAGGGCTGTTGACGCTCAGTCCTTGAACATATTCAAGACTGAGATAGATAGATTTCTTATTGCAAAAGGGATTAAGGGATAAGGCAGGGTTATGTTATTAGCTGGAGTTAGATTAGAAGATCAGCCATGATTGAATGGCAGGGCAGGCTCGAAAGGCCGAATGGCCTACTCCTGCTCCTACATGTTATGCTATGTTACATGCAGACAGAGATTCTATCCAAAGATGCTTAGCTTAACCTTCAACCTCAAGATTGGCACTTCAAATGGGCAATTTTCAGAAGCTTTAAGGTGATCAGGTCATTATTATTATTATTATTATTATAATAATCATTATCATCCATTGGCAACCAGGCTGTGAATGCCTGTGAATGCCCAAGTTCATTGCAATTGGCAAAGTTATAAGACTTGAATCCTAGCACTTTACGACTTTTGACTTTGAACTGGGGTTCCAAAGGATAAAGGGCAGCTTGCCAACAATTTTACCACAGAATCGCACACCTGCACAACAATTTTAATGTTTGCTTTGATTCATATAAACAAAAAACAAATTTAGGTATATTTATCTTTGATCTTTTATTGACGACATAAGTACTCGGATTCTCAGTCCCACTACCAAGACTATTATGTCGCAAACAACAAATATTTGTTGGGAGACTTCAAAAAGAAAGCCTCTGATCAAAACATTCAGCAAATAGAGTTCCTGCCTTCATCTCCCACTTTGAAAATCCTTTGAACAAAAAAGCACAAAGCTGTCCAACAAAGAAAAAAAATACAACTCATCAGATCAGGCAACAGTCACTTGGCACAATATCACGAAATATCCTATTCAAATACGGAATTATTTACTTTAAAAAGATGAACCCGGACGCCTTTATATCACAAGACATTCTCTTCAGTACTCCCAAGCGTTCAAACTCTAGTAAACAGTGCAGCAAAAAGCCTCTCTGCCCCCACCATCTGGAACTGCATCCCCCAGTCTCTCCGCCTTGCTCCCTGCCTTGCCTCCTTCAAGACCTGCCTCATAACCCTCCTCGTCGACCGTGCTTTCGGTCACCCTCCTACCCCTACGCTCCCCGCCCCCCATTCCTCCTGATCCCAACCACCAGCTCGGGTCCCTGACTGTCCAGCGCCTTGGGACATCTTCCTAATGTGAAAGGTGCTATACAAATGTAATTTGTTGTTGTTGGTGGTGGTGGTGTTATTGAAACTGGTATTCTAGATAACTTGAGGACTGAAAATAGAATCTGGCAAACCTATCATTTTAGTCATTCACTTTTCCTCAAACACCAAAGTAGCTGAGAAGTCACATTAAGCAGAGATACCCTTCCTCGCTCATTGCACAATAACATTTGAGAAATCAAGTGAGGTCTTGTTTTGATGGGAGTCAGCAATATCTTGGTTCTATTGCAGTTTTAAGAAGTCATAAATCTTAGAAACCTCAATCCTAGAGGCTGAACCCACTCCATGATTACAACTTAGAACAAACACAGTGTTCTTGGTGTATAACGCTCGGCTGAGGAGGGGGGACAAGACTGATGATCGCCAAGATGTTGTGCCTGGTAATGGAATATTGAACCGAGACTTAATAGTCCTGCTCCTTAGCCGAGCAAACCTACAATACTCCAAAGAAGTATTGATGAATGATCAGTCAGCCTCTGAGGAGCAATCCCACAAACAGTCATGAAGTGAACGACAAAATTTATCTGAGGAATTGTTGGTCAGGACACCAGATTAAATTCCCTTTTCTTTTCAAACAGTGCCACGGGATCTTTAACGTCAATCTGAACAAGCTGATAGGATCTAGTTTTAATGTCTCATCAGAGAGGTCGGCATCTTCAATGAAGTGCACCTCCAGCACTGTCAGTCTAGACTATAAGGTCAGTGAAAAGCTTGCAGACAGTGATCTCACTAAACAAGCTATACAGTGTTGGCTGGTTAAAGTGCAGCAGTGCCCTAATGCACACTCTGGACCCCAAGCCTTGACTCTCACCAACTTGTGCTTAATACTCTCAGGATTTTGTAAGTAAGATGCACCCCTCTAGATAGAGAATGCACATTCCATTCCAGACACATGGAAACTTCCATATGTAAGTGGCATACATATATGTAACTGTCTGGTTTGGATACTCATAAACATGATTTTCATTATGCCAGACACCAGGTTGACCAAATCAAAATGAATCTTCTCAGCACAACTAGAGATGGGCCATAAGGTGCTGGCAAAAAGCCAACTTTAAAAAAAAATAAAAAAAGCTGCTGCCATATTTGATGCTGAATATTTTTGAGACAAGCACAACCCTGATAAGAACATTATAATAGTTTTATATAATCTGACAGCCATGGTGCAACGCTGGTTGGCACAAATCTTTCAGAAATCACTAAATACTGCAGAGGTGTCGGGAGAACTGCAGAAAGGCAGACGTTACTCCTATTTTCAAGAAAGGTAAAAAAAAGTGGAGTCCTGTAGCTTAGTGGTTAGAGCACTCGACTCACAATTGAGAAGAACTGGGTTTGATTCCCATACATGGCGAATCGTTGGGCAAGTTTCCTTACTCCACATGCCTCTGCTTAACCAGAGATAAGTAGGAACCCGGTTGTTATTCGATTGGCGGATCGCTTTTACAGGGGTAATAATCCCTTCTNAAAAATAATAATAATAATTTAGTCACTCAATCCACGACTGTTTGTGGTACACTGCTGTGCGTAATTAGCTGTTGTGTTTTACCCACAAAATATACAGTCTTTCCACTTTACACAATATCCTGTATATTCTTATAGTAAGTCTCCAGCAGTATGATCAGAACAATGTTAACAGGAATAGAAATGAACAGAGCAGTTTTCAAAAATATCATGACACAGACTATAAGCAACATTAAAAGATCAACTGTGTGTAGTCAAGGGCACCTGATAAATCTTTCCCTGCGTTTGCCCACCACCTTTAGTAGTTCATCAAATTAAATAAAACATCTCACAAACATCATCTCATTTAAAATCACTCTCTCCCAGCACCTCCTTTAGTGCAAATGTACATTTTTAAACAAAATCCTGACTCATCTCAATTTTTTAATTTTTAAAAAAAGGTCTGCTTCACTCCTGGATTTCCAGTGGGCAAACTCAAGTAAATCAGATCTCGACGTGACACAGTCATTGAGACAAATACTGTTTAATTTCTAGATTATCAAGCAAAAATTTCTCAACGCACTTTAAAGAAAATTCAAAGGAAATTCTAGTCAAGCATAACCACTGTGTATTGCATATAGAAAGCCAACTGCAGCAGCCAATTTTCATTCAGGAGTATGCCACATCCCAGCCATAAAATGAACGTCAAAGTTATCTAGACAGAGGACTGCTTATCACAAATAGAGTCAAAAGATCTTTAATATCCACCTGGACCAGCATACAGGACCACAGTTTAAAGTTACACCTGAAGGACAGCACCACCAACAATGCAATTTTTCCTTCGGTACTGCAAAGGGGCATGCCAGCCTTGCTCAACGTTACAATTTTGAAATTGCTTTGAATTCACAATCTTCAGGTTCAGAGATGAGAGTGCTATCAACTGAGTCAGATTGACAACTTGATAACATGAAAGTACATGAAAGTACACTTTCCTGGATGAGTCACGGTGGTTCTTTTTAAACTGGGGTGAGATTCGGGTTGTAATGCTTCAATGAGTTAGTCAACGTGGTGGCCTTCCTATATACAAGCTTCCCATGGACGAAGTCATTTTGTGAAAAGATTTGCAAAGTGTCAGCAATGATTATTAGGTGTTTAGAGTGCAAGTTTGAGGTCCAGTCCCAAGCTATTCTCCCCGCTCCCCTCTCTTCCAAAAACGTAGCCAAGGACTCGGGTAAGTGTGTGACAACCACACAGGCACTGGATTATAAACATTCTTTCTCACTGGTGGATCCAAGAGACAAGAATTCAGTCCACCTCGATACTTCTGCTCTTCAAAACTACTGAATGCACAGGAAGCGAGCTCCATAAATCTTTCTAATGGGGAAAAAAAACTAGAGAAAAAAAATACTTTAAGACACTATTGCAGTTACTAAAGAAGCCCTTTAAATAAAAGATTTTATAATAGTTTCTAAGAGGAGTAGGTGCAAGGTGGAGGATGATGAACTCTCCCTGTTAATAACCACAATAAGGGATACACCCAATCAGGACGTTAACACCCATACCCAGTTTTGTCTAACAACCTTCCAAACAATGTGTAATCATAATTACCGGTCAATGAATTGGTCTAAGATGACAATATCCCCAGGGTGGATTTCTTCCCGTAAAGAGCCACAGGCGGTGGTAGCAAGAATATGGGTGCAGCCCTCTTCCTTCAGTGCCCAGATGTTTGCTCGGAAGTTGACGTTTGTTGGCATAATGGTGTGTTGCCTCCCGTGCCTGCATGTAAAAGCACACATGATAGATATCCTTTGTGTGGGCACAAGGAAACATATTTTATATTCTTGAAAGAGAAGACAACAACAATTTACATTTAGATAGCGCCTTTCAATCATGAGGTTGTCCCAAAGCACCTTATCACATCGTCGAGACGTCTCCGAAGCTTCACAAGCTGCACTGCAAAGTGTGCGAATCTGTATTTTGTGGATGAATGCATTATTACAGCACCATATCATGTGAAAACATCGCAAAGTAATTACTATCAAGTGTAGCGACTCTTCTCGTAGGGAAATGTGGAAACCATTTGTGACATCAAGGTTCCACAAACAGCTGTCAACTGAATGAACAATTGATCTGAAGGAATCTAGAGAAACTCCCTTCTCTTTTCAAAAAGTGCCAAGGCATTTTTAACCTCCAACTGAACAGGCAGTTGAGATCTTGATTAAGCGTCAGAAGTAATAAAGGATGTTGGTACCTCTGACAATGTAGCGCTCGTCCAGCACTGCAATCTCAACCACAACCATGAGACTAAGTCCAGATGTGGAGCTTTGATGTGATAATGTGAAATATCAAATGCAAATATCAGGCTCGGAGGCAAAAGGTTTGCAAACTGAGTGAAACTGACACAAAGGGCTCATTGCTCAACAATATTTCTTCAGGAGAAAGGGAGCAGTGAAAGCTGGCAAGTTCTCCTGCAGTTGTAGTGTAGCCCTTTCAGTCACTATGCCCCGAATCTCTGGATACTTCCTGCCTCAATCCCTCCGTCTTACTCCCTCTTTGCCCTTTTTCAGATCACAACTTTCCTCTTTGACCGTGCCTTCGGTCACCTCCCCTCTATTTCCAGCTCAGTGACAAACCACACTGTTATTAAGTGCTTAGAGCTATTCTTGTAAAGAGGGCTAAATAAATGCAAGTTGTTGTTGTATGAATTTGCCCTTTTTATTTGAGCTGCATAAGGAGTTCCGCAAATTAAACCTGCAAGAACTTTCTTAGAAACAGCAATGTGAAACTAGCAGCTGACTTTTAACCACATATACTACTTTTATGTCTGGCAAATTCCAAGATTATTAGACTCTATTGGAAAGTACAAGCATTTATTGGATTCTCATTTAAGTTCCTCCAAGCTCTCCTCTTTGCCATTACATTCTGTAGATTCAGGCTATAACAGAATAGCTGGGTAACACAGAAGGTTTACATTTCACAGCTAAGCTTTGGATCCAGCAAAGTCTCTTGGTGAAATTAAACCAACTGTGCTTGGATGAAATATCCCATGGCACTATTCAAAAAAGGAGGGAGTTTCTCCTGGTTTTCTGGCCAACAACATGCTCCCCCATATCCCCCTCCCCGATAAAATGAATCATTTACTTTAACACTGTTTTTGGGACATTGTTGTTTGTGTGCAAATTGTTTGCCTACAAAACAGTCACTACACTTTACGGTGTATTCTGTGAAGCGCTTTGAGACGTCTCAATGATGTGATAAAGAGCTAAATCAAATGCAAGGATTATTATTAGATTATTATTATATCAAATTATAGAAACATAGAATTATATAGCACAGAAGGAGGCCACTTGGCCCATCATGCCTGTGCCAGCTCTTTTAAAAAAGCTATCCAAATCAGTCCCACTCCCCCGCACTCTCCCCGTAGCCCTGCAAACTTGTCCTCCACAAATAATTATCTACTTCTCTCTTAAAAGTTGTTATATAATCGGCTTCTACCACTTTTTCAGGCAATGCATTCCAGATCCGACCAACTTGCTGTGTGAAAAACAAACACACAAGGATTATTATTATATTATATTCAAATTAATCTACAACAATTTTGCAAGCAGTGCAGAATCCTGCTCCATCCTTAGCTTTGGATTGTAATGGTATTTGATTGCACATGGGACATGCAATAAACTGGTGGGGACAAGACAAGTCAACTTGTCCAGTTGTCAGCTGAATATCGCACTGGCGAATTTGTGAATTTTTATGAAATTGTTGTTACTGTACAAACGACTTTCTAAGAAGAGGGTGGTAAAATGTGGGACTGTTTCCGGTGGAGATTACCAACTGTAGACTCAAAGACAATTACTGAGAAGTGTTTATATCACACCTAACCACAAGATACTGTATTCTGAAATTCTGCAAGCAGTTGATATTCAGCTGTATTTACATGTGACATTCCAGGCTTGCATATAATACAATAATGTTTTGTAGTGGTGCACGGAAAGGTAAGAAAAAATGGTTAATCAGGCACTTGATGCCTTTTCACTGACATGCAGTAGTAGAGACTGCCAGCAATAGCAACTCCATCTTGTTGAGTCAGATTAAATTCATAATGAGAGATTAAAAACCATGGCATTATCCACGCAGGGCACTGCAGATAACTGACCAGCCAACCCGGTTCATCATTAGGACTTGGAGGAACAGACCAGCCATTGCCAGCAGGGATCCTTGGGCTTTGGCTTGCAGAGTTAACAGGTCCTGTTAACTCAGCAAGCAAAGCCCAAACGGATAGGGTGGGGTCGGACAAGCAGCAGGAAGCTTAAAAAGACAGCGTTTTCAGTGGCAAGGTTTTAAATCACGGAAGAGTGGGATTGATTTGGATAGCTCTTTTAAAGGTAGCAGTAACTGTGGTATCCCCAAGCCTTGGCTCTTGCCAACTTGCTACCAATACTCTCCAGAATTAGGATGTGTTCCTCCGTGGAGACAGTGCCCATTACATTCTAGAATAAATTTGAGGGGAAATTTGAAATTTCCACATTCTGGTGGCATACATATCTGGAACTCTCAGTCTAGTCTGAATACTCTTCAACATGATGATAGGTTTCCAAATGTGTCCAAAACGTGGAATTTATTCAGCAGTAGTAAAAAAAACAGTGATAATTTAAGTAGTAAAAAGTACAATACATACCTGGCTAGTATGACACAATCTACATTTTTGATCTTCCCCAGTATCAGAGCATCTGAAGGCTGCATATTGAAGAAAAAAAATTGTAAAGCTTCATACAATCTACTGCTAAGAGCTGAACCATGAACTTTCTGCCTCCCACCCACCCACCTATTATTTCTGTCAATATTTCCTGTGTTACTTTCTTGAAAGTTCACTTTCAATTCTACAACACTTATCAATTGCACCACGAAGAAACAAGACAGTCAGCTCACCAAAAGATATAAGCTTTAGTTTGCATCAAAATTACTTATTCTTTAACTTAAAGGTTTGTGATCCTTGATAAATCCGCTCATACTTAACGCACAATATTATTTAGATGTACATTATTTCATTACAACAATACCAGATGCTTTTAGGCAGTCACTGAAAAACCAAAACATGTTAAAAATAGCAAATTATGTTTGATAATTCACAGACACTTCATTGGAAAACAAACAGACTGACTTCAGAGTCCCCAACATAAAAGTAAACTCTCCTTGGTTTTACCCCAGCAGACAGTGAATACAGTGATCTGTTTTAGGTATCTAGGGTCTTTAATATATTAATATATTCTGTGAAGCGCTTTGGGACGTCTAGAAGACGTGAAAAGTGCTATATCAAATGCAAGGATTATTATTATTATTAACAGCGCATCAATTATAACTCACATATATATGGCACCTTTCATGTTTGAAGATCGTCTTCAAGCGCTTCACACAGCTGACTAGAAATTCAAGTTGGGGAGGGGAGCTGAAGGAGGGGTGAGAAAGAAGGCGGCCAAAAATGTAGTTGAAAAGATGGTTTAAATGGTAAAGGTTACAGACCAAAAATGGTGCTATAAACCCACCTATAGTGGCAAATAGTGCTTTGAATGAATTCACCTGCCCAAATCAAACATTTAGCTTGTTGAATGAATGGGTACAACAACTTGCATTTATATCGCGCCCTTCACACGGGGATAGCATTCTGTAATATAAATTGTAGTTAAAAACAGCATGTGGTATTAATCACGTGTGTATGTCAAAAAAACCATTGCTCAACAACGTACACGAAAACTCTACAATTTAATAACGATGCTAAATTCACCAAATGTTTATTGTGAAATGTAGTATTACTGTAATAATGGGGGAGGGGAACAGAAACTCTCAAGCAACTAATCTGTGGTATCTTGTGAAATGATTAGCCAATTTTTAACATGATGTAAAACAGCTCCTTCTTACTCTTACACAGACAGACCTCTACTTTGAGGAAGTGCCAGAATTGACGATACTGATGGCCACTGCCTTCAGGTGAAAAGGTTTGCATACAAGACATCATGGGAGTTACTTCAATGCATAAAGACAATTTTATATCCTGGTTTAGACTACCTCAAAGATAGAAGAAGGGAAAACAATTTACCTCTATGACCCTGCTCATGTGAACCACCCAGCTACAAGATATAGACATAGAAGAGGATTCATTTGATCGATTCTGGGCCTAGATTATTCACCAAGTGAATGATCTGGGATGTGTCATGGGCCATTTATTTCTTTAATAAGGGGGAATACGGCTTTGGACTGACAGAGCAGAAAATAAAGTTTGGAGTTTGAAGCTCTTACATTTCTTGCTACCTCTATTAGCGTTTGGCAAGTAATGTTTTAAGACAGTACCAGCCCACCCCCACCTACCACCATTTACACAACAGTAAAGTTAAAGAACAAATTTATGATCCATGGTATTTTTCCTGACCAAATGGCTCCTCTCTTAAATTGTATTAGGCTTCTTTCATCTTCTACTGCTATGTGAGCCTTGCCAAGATAGGCTAGCATGGGTGGGGTATAACAATATAGCTGAGCCCGAGCTTCACTAGACATCCATACAGTTTGCTCCTTTCAGCAGGGGTCTCTGGATAGGGTTCAGGAGAGGAAACCCAGCTGATATGCCCTTCTCACACCTCAGGTTCCCCCAATTGGTGCGCTGGATGAGTTCAGTTAACTCAGCACTGAGTGGAATTGACCAGCAACTTTCCGGTTTATGTGGTCACCTCCATACTTACCCTTTATTTTTAGAACAAGCTGGTTTGCATAATTAATGTTATTGAAATGTTGAGACTTTATGCACAAAGCCATGGGAAACACAGCACAAAGACGGAAAACACAAATCGGAGGCAACCACTCAGCCTGTTGAGCCAGTTACACCAGTTTATTGCATCTTGGCAGATCTTATAATCTCAACATCCCGCCAATGACCAAATGATATAATTTTACTTAGCAATCAAAGGGCTTGTTACCATTCTGAAAGCTCAAGAAAATAATGTATTCTGGGCATAATTTAGTTTTTTTTTCCAGAGGAGTTGGTGGTCAACATTAATTATTGAAGCTAAACTGTTCAAAAAATAAATGGTAAGTAAGGAGGCGATCTTTGATAACTGAGCAAAACATGAGAGTGGGGGGGTGGGGGGGAGTAGAAATAGTCAAAGAGAAAGGTCTTGAAGAACATCTTCAGTTGGGAAGTTATACCTCACTTGGAGGAGTACAATTTGCGGCGAATGTTTTTTTAAAGATGTGATTAATCTTCAGAGGTACCTGCAGGGATAGAGGTGGCTGCCTAAGCTACAAGCATGCCCACCTGTCTTTTATTTTCAGGTGACGCTTGTCTCAAAAGGAAAGGGAAAGCTGCAGTAGTAGGAAGAAATGCGTGTAAAAAATCAAAATGAAGATCAGGAATAGTTGCAGATCAGGAAATCCTCCCACTCAAAAGGGAACCTGTTCGTAAGTGGACTAACCAGTAAATCGAACAAAACGACAGCAGGTTACTATGAAGTTACATCAAGTTTGTTTATAAAGCGCTTTGGGATATTCTCTTGGAGAATTTTATTTCTTGTCCCATCGCTCGGACCACCCAGGAGTCCTTTAGATTGATAATCATCCAACTTGTACGAAGGACTGAGATGTTTCTATTGGTTTATTTTTTATTATTTTATTTTACTTTCCCTTCTTCCTTCCCCCTGCGCCAAATTTTTCTCCTCAAGATTCTGACTTATGCTGTGCTTTCAATGGCACTAGCCAACTCTCTGGTACTTCAACTAATTTTGTGAACACAAACAGTTAGCATCAGCAGCCTATTTGATCATAGGAGGAATCAAAGACAAGACCAATCCTGTTATCACCAGAGAGGAAATGCGAGGAGCAGTGTGACTCACACCCGCTGCAGCAGAAACACTCATGTTGCAAGTGGGTTCACTCCCAGCGTGGACTTTTGAAAACTGCCAATTATGCAAACGTTTCTTTAATAATACTGAAAAATGAACACCTGATTCAAAAGTTCACTTCCAGTAGTAAAGCCAGCATTCTTCTAGATATCCTAGACATTGTGATTTTCAGAATGAATGAACTTACATTTATATAGTGTCGAAGAAGTAAGTCTTAAGGTGGAACTTAAAAATAGATAAAGAGGGGGTGAGGCAGAGGGATAGAGGCAGGAAGTTTCGGAAGTTAGGGGTGTAGTGACTGAAGGCACGGCCACTGTTGATGTCTTGGAGGGATCGGGGATGTGCAGCATGTCTGTGTCACTTAGCAAAGAAGACGGGAATGTGTTTGAGAAATCAAGGCTGGAGGTGACAAAGCCAGAAGAATAGTTTCTGCAGATTTTAGGTGAGATAATAATAATAATAATAATAATAATCCTTGCATTTGATATAGCGCTTTTCACGTCAGGAGGACGTCCCAGAGCGCTTCACAGAACACACTGTAAAGTGAATTGACTGTATTTTTTGTGGGCGAACGCTGCAGCCAATTGCGCACAGCAATGTCCCACAAACAGTCGTAGATTGAAAATGACCAATTTATTATTGTTTTTGGTTTTGGAGGGATTATTATTAGGTGTGTGGAGTAAGGAAACTTGCCCAAGGTTTCGCCCTGCCTGGAATTGAACTCAGGTCTCTCGCTTGCAAAGCGAGTGCTCTAACCACTGAGCTACAGGACTATAGGAGATAGGATCGGAGGGTCGAGTGATGTGGCGGAAGTGGAGGAAGCAGTAGTCAGTAGTCATTAACTGAATGTGGGGTAGGCAAGACACTTGGTGATCGAACCGGACGCCAACATTTTGCACAGGTTGCACAGGAAATTTGAGAATTAGCCAGTTTATAATGACATTATCTTCTGAACACATAATAATCCACCTCACTTCACTTCTGATGGTTATTTGGCTATCGTCAGGCTGTTACTGTTTGGAGCATTCTTTGTTTCAGAATATACAACTGAGCAAGCACTGAAAGATACTTCTTTGATTACATCACCCAAATAGCTCAATGCAATGAGACTCCCACACAGGCAAACACCAAGTAGCTCGCACTTTGTCTCATCTTTGGACAACACTTTGCAACAGATCAGTGCATGCAAGTGCTGTGCAAACAATCCCCCATCCAAAGTCTTTAAATGTTTCAGCATCTTGAGACATCCTTCCGAAGTGAAAGGTGCTATATAAATGTAATTTTGTTGTAGTTGTTAATTAACAGTTTTAAAAACTAGCAATCTGAACAGCAACTAATTTACTCATTTCTTTATTCACCAACAGTCTTGACTAACAGTTGAACGATGTGAACATTTCACAGAGAAAAAATCAGACTTCCAAGAAGTGTGGCTTTCACACAGTGTCAGTCAATTAACATTTTAATTAACATTTAAAAAACAGTAATGTAAGCTATTTGGGTTATTAGGCTATGTTTTGCACAGGAGTTGTACAAAGCAGGAATGAAGTGATGTAATATAATGGAATTCTATGCTTGCATCAGCTGAGGTGCACTTGGTGCCAATTCAAACAGACAAATCTCCTCAAATGTACAATAACTGAAAATGATAATATTGTAGAAAATGATATGGATTAAAAACCTATATGCAATATCTGTATATACACAATACAATTTACATTTTTATAGCACCTTTCATGTTGAGAGGACGTCTCAAAGCTCTTAATTAAATATTCATACACTAGAGTAAACAGCATACAATACTAAAGCATATGCACATACGCCCCTCTCTACATACAACTCAACCCTGGCTTAACTTGTCACCACCACTTAAGTCATCATGCTGTCAATATCCTGGTCGCATTTATTTATGTGTGTATACATATGCCCCTGACCCCAATCCTGGATGAGGGCAAACTTCCCACAGTTGAATGTGAACAAGACTGAGGCCCTCCAGATTGGCTCACGCCAGCGCCTCAGCACCTCAGGCTCTGGCAGCATCAGCCTCCATGGTTGCACACTTCAACTCACCAAACCAGTCAGGAACCCAGGTGTCTTGTTCGACCCTCAACTGTCTTTTCTTTCCCACATCTCAGCCACGACCCGCTCTACCTTCCCTCACCTCCGTAACATCGCCCGACTCCGCCACTACCTCACCCCTCAGGCCAATGAAACTCTTGTTCATGCCTTCATCACCTCCAGGCTCGACTATGCAAACCCCCTGCTTGTCGGCCTTCCCAACTCCTCCCTCCGCAGCTGCAGATAATCCAGAACTCTGCAGCCCGTGTCCTCTCCTGCACCAAATTCCGTGACCCCATCTCCCCCATTCTTGCCCGACTCCACTGGTTTCCTATCCTTCAGAGGATCCAGTTCAAAATCCTGGTCCTCACCTACAAAGCCCTCAATGGTCTAACTCCACCCTATCTCTGTGACACCCTAACCCCTTCCCAACCCTCCCGCTCCCTCCGCTCAGCCGGCTCCGGCCTGCTCCACGTCCCCCGACCCACCTGCTCCACCATTGGCAGGAGAGCCTTCAGCCACTCTGCCCCCAACCTCTGGAACTCCATCGCCCAATCACTCCACCTCACCCCCTCCTTAGCCTCCTTCAAGTCCAGCTTCAAATCCCTCATGTTCCCTGCTATTGGTCACCCATCTTCCCCTCCACTCCCCTCTCCCCCCTGACCCCAGCTCAGGTCTGAAATGCTGTACACTCTCCAGCGCCTTGGGACATCTTCCCGACATGAAAGGCGCTATGTAATCTTGTTGTTGTATGCTTAACTCGCCAATCCAGATAACTCACCACTGAGCCCTTTTCCGTTGCAGTGACGAGTTATCAGGACTTTACTGTTTTATAAACTGGGGAGAAAGAAAACTCAATCCTCTGTATGCTGGCAGTTAGGCTGGGACTCCTGCAGCACATACCCAGATGGAGCGAGAATCTCTCTACCACTTTGGGTAAAATATGAAATGAAAGGGGCAATGCTCCTTGAACAACAAGTGCTAACTGAAACAGAAAATCAATAGAATCAAATTGCAGATAACATCAGGTAAAATTTCATGGCATATTGTATACTAATGATCCACTTGCACAGAATAAACTATTTCTGTATTTCTATTAGGTCTGCATGTGCAAAGTAGGCACAATGGCCTTGTAAACCATTTCAGAGCTCCCACCTTTGCTCATTGCATAACAGATACAAGATTCTTCAGTTTCCTGGCTATGTGGAAGGATACACTGCTAACCTATATACAAAATTTTTTCTTTCTCCCAGTTTCTCCCAAGTGCTCTGAGACGCTACTCTGCGTGGAAGGCGCGATATAAGTGCAAGTTGTTGTTGTTATAAATGCAAATCCCAAACTGGTCCTAACACACACATACACGCACCACCATCCTCCCCACCCCATCTAACCATCCATCCAAACCTATTGCACATAAGAGGATTTCACTGTATCCTCTTTACATTTAAGAACATAAGAATTGCTAGACGAAAGAAGACCAAGGTTCTTCCAGTTTGCCTTCCACCATCTTGGCAGGCACATGTCATATCCCAAACTATATGTTGGATTCTGAGATATTATTTACTCACAGAAATCTATCTAATTTGCTCTTGAAAGAATCAACACTTTCTGCTTCCGCCATCAACCTTGGGAGCCTGTTCCATACATTTATTACTCCCTCACTGAAATAGTGTTTCCTTAGATTTTACCAGAAATTAACAACACTTTTGGGTTTGCACTGGCCTCTATGGGAAAGCATTTAGTCCCTGCTACCAAAGTCAACTCTGCTGACAAGCACTCATCTTGGTATTCTGCATGGCAACATCATCTCCTGCTCTTGGCAAACATCTCTTCTGTTCTTGGTGGGCACAAACAGCCTCAGATGGCATTGACACTACCTCTTTGTTTTGCCATTGAACAACCCCAATCTCACTCTGCGCATAAAGCAGATATGTAGTTTTCCCATTAGGACATATGAAGAATTAGGTGGTGCCTAAAATACATATTTCCATCAAATGACCTTTGCTATGTACTGGATTGATGAGAACAATATTACAGAGCTTGGCTAAACAACAAAAATCTATGAGGTGAGTTAAACAAAGTCTGTGAAGTTTATAGCCTGGCTGAAGTACAAAGGAACTTTATCAGTAGGTGCAGGAATAAAGGATGCGTTGTTATCCATTATACTTCTAACTGAACACATTCCATACTTGTTACCAAAAAAAAGCACGCCGAGAGAAGGGCAAGAAAATATTTTGATAACAGGATGCGGGTTAGTGGCTTTATTTAGTGGTTTTACCGAGATGCTCTGGGAAACTGGTATGACTTCAGCTGCACCTGGTTTTTTTTACTCCCATTTGATGACTAACTGGTAGGGGGCGTGAGTGAAATCAATATCGTTACTCGCTAATATTAGAAGAGTTGAGTTTTATTTAGGCTGAATAGTGTGTCCCACTGGTTTGGATCCATTCAATTGCAATGAACGCTGGAGTTATTCTGAGTGGCTAGAAGGTTAAAAGAGAGAAATTACTTGACTGTATTACAATACAATGGTCCCTGTGGTTTATCAACATTCTTGTTTAATTGAGTGTTTGGACTTCCTCCTTCACTCACTCTGGCTTGCAGGATGAATACATCACCAAGTGACAACAATGGCTTAGAAAGAGGAAACTACAACCTCTCTCTGATTATTCACCACTGTGTACGGAAAGTGACAAAACGGCCAGTTCGCCAAAACCAGGAAAACAGTACTTGCAAAACGGGTTGAAATATTAAAAAATTATGGAAAATCTTTAAAACGCAAATCCTTTCAGAACATGCACTTTCTCCCTAAGAGAGGCATACCCTGTTTGCCCAATTCAAGAAAGTGTCATATCAATAGAACATAAGAATTTGCTAGGTGAAAGAAGACCAAGAGCCATCTAGTTTGCCTTCCACCATCCTGGCATGCATGTTGTGTCCCAAACTATATATTGAAATATGAAGTTATATATATATTGATAACTTTATATACAATATATTGAAATATATATAAATGCAAGAGTTATTAATATTCTCACTCACTGGATCTTAGCAAAACCAAATGCTCAGACAATGGCATGGCAAGAAAATACTGCCTGGAGGGAGAGAAAAGAGAATGGAAAGCCCTGGGTAACAATAACATCTGAATTGACTTTCTCAGCATCAGCAGGTGAAATATGAGAACTGCAATGATGACATTTGTGGAATAATTGACAGTTTACATCAGCTATCCCTTTTCCATCTGAGGGTCAAATCATAGAAGGGGAGTAACATTAATAACCATTGCATTTGATTAGCACCTAAAACACTGAAGAATCAAACAGCGCTTCACATGTAATTGCTGTCATGTGTAGTGATTACTTTTTGTAGGCAAATGAGGAAGCTAATTAGCGCACAGCAGAGCCCCACAAACAGCAATGAAGTGAAGGACCAATTTTCTAGAGGATTGTTGGCCATGACAACGGGAGAAACTCCCGTTTCTGTTCAAAAAGTGTAATGCAATCTTTAAAAGATAGGCAGGCCCTTTGGCACTGCATCTCTGGCAACGCAGAGCTCCCCCAGTACTGTTATTGGAAATATAGTATTATAAGAGGGCAATTGTTTCTCTAAAATACTAGGCACTGTAGAATAAAGGGGATAAAGGCAGAATAAAACCAATCATTCCAAAGAGGATTCTTTCTTTTGAAAGTGGCGGTATATTAATATTAACTTCTGTACACCAGACCATACATAAGCAACAAAACCAGGAAAACAAGTACATAAAGCAACAAAGTGTTGCAAATAACAGACCTTTCCATATGGAGTATCCACACACTTCTCACTTCTTTTCTCCAAAAGATCTGGGTTGTCCAATCCTGACCCGCCGATAATTCCAATCTGCAATTCAATGGAAAAAGTAAAAAGAAATTGTTTTCACGTTTTTAAAAAAAGACAAAAGGCAGTGTCAGGGTACAACAGTAACAAATTACATTTGTATGGCGCTTTTCACCTCGGGAGAATTTCCCAGTCAAGGAACACCACTTTATCCACAATTTTCCCAGGCTTGCTCAGCATTTAAGGCAGGCACCATCTCATCCAATTATTGAGGGTCACCGCTGTGTGCAAATTGACCTCTGCATTCATCTACAGAATACAATCATTGAACTTTACAGTATATTCTGTGAAGCTTTTTAACACATCCACCTGATGTGGAAGGAGCTATATCAAATGGATGGATCAATTATTATTTTATTCCTTACACTTAAGTATGAAGTGCCAGTTTATTTTATAGACAGATCTGCATGGTTGGTTATCTCCCTGTCAGAGATCTGGATTCATGTCAAAGGCCTATTTGCTACAACAACCATGACAGTCAAATATCAAAAGGAGACAATTTTGTACTGCTGACACTTTTCCACCTCAGCTATTCATTTGACATCCTCCACACCTTCCAATAACTTAAAAGGCAATATTTAACTGTATTACCCAATACCATGAATGAATTGAACAAAACAGAATATCAGATTACCTCCATAAAACTGGATGTATACAAATTCATGGTAAATTGATAATATTCTTTGCTCATTTACTTTGTTAACATTTTACAGCTATTTATACTAATAAAGACAAATGTCTCTCTGTGTGTCTGTCCGCCAAGATTGCAATAACCAACTGACGTAGAGATATGATTTATACCTCATCGGAAAGATCTTGCATTGGGGAGTGTCATGGGCATATTTTTATCAGGGATCTCCTATCGTCAATGAGCTATATTAAAAACTATATTAAAAAATGCTTTAATTAAGCCCCCCAAAAGGTATGCAGAGTATTCTGCAACAAAGTAGCAACAGGGGTGACACACCCTTCTAGAGAGATATATCTATCTATATCAATAAAGATAAAATGTCTGCCTGTGTGTCTGTCTAACCAATTGACATAGAGACACCAAGGAGAGTCCTCTCAACCAGGAATCCTCCTACTGAGTCTTCCCACTGAGTCCTCCCAAAAGGATATGTGTGCAAATATGTGAACAAGGGATGCTAACAAGTTCAATAGCACAGTTTCTTAATCTTAAGGGATAAAGATGCCTAAGAAGCGAAGATCAAGCCTTTCAAGGGTAAATAAAAATGCCAGACAAAAGAGAGAAGGCCGATTAAATGAAACTGTTTGCAAGCGTAGCTGTAACATATACAGCTAGTACATCATAATTTGGGATTTTTGATATGAAAGACAATCCAAATCTAAATTTCTTTTACAAGAAATTTGAAACACTATTTGCTGTGACAAACATTTTTGTGCCCCAATGGCCAAATTACTGCCAATACTGCGTTGCACCCACAAAATATACAGTCAATTCACTTTAAAATATATTCTGTGAAGCACTTTGAAATGTCTTGAAGGTGTGATAAGGCGCTATATCAAATGCAAGGATTATTATTATAGGATTATTATAATAGACAATTTTATACTACCATTTGATGCCCTCCAAATCCAGTTCCAAGAATTAATAGGTAATATTTTAATCCATTGCATTACTCTATCCTATGCATTTCATGTATAAATGCAATCATGTTGTTGTTGTTGTACACCGGAAAACAAATGCAAATTAATGAGGAGCCAATTGTCCCCAAGAGTTGTGTATTGAAAACCAACCTGCCAGTTACTAAGCTTTGAACTACATTTCAGCAGCACCAGGATCAGCAATCAAGGATGGGAAGTATATAAATCCTCACTTACATCACCATCACCTGGACTCACACAAATAAAAATAGTGCTTCTTACCAAAGGCACATCTAAGAGTTAATATTAAATATGTTCCTGTTGTAAGTACTTCAGATTGAAAGTTCTTCCTCTCCCCACGCCTACCCCATCTAAACGATATTCCCCTTTAAAATATCCATTCCATGATAAAATATATAGCTTTTTCAACCAAGCCAGTAGTAAGCATCAGGTCAATACTATACAGTAGCAGAAGTGGCTTCAAAACACTGAATGCAGCTAGTTTTGTCTATACTCAAAGACTTGACTTTGGTTAAATCACTTATTCTCAATGGCAATAATCAAATACATATTTTTTCGGTTGAAGGTTGCACTGCCATTTATGCACAAGTTAAGAAACCAATGAAAGGTTTCACCCACAAAATACAGTCAAATCTACTTTACAGTATATCCTCAGCGATTTGAGACGTCTCAATGTCATGCTAAGTTGCAGTATCAAATGCAAGGATTATTGTCTTTTATAAGAATCTCAAGCTATCTCACATACAAGATGAAATTGATGAGATACAGAAGTGGTTGTGCTAAATGGCCATACTACACATTGTGCTTGAATACGCTGACTGCAAATTTAAAACATTGTTTTTGGCTAAAGATGCCAGGATTTAGACAGATGACCCAATAATTATTCTACAGAAGTTACCTATTAATCTGAGCAAGCATACAATACTCTATACTCTGTCTGCTACCTGCTGAAAGACTTCAGATTATTAAAATTCCATTGTGGGCAGACTGGTATCTGAACACGTAATACCAATAACAGAGATGAATCACGCTGGAGCATTGCAGCACACCCTTCTATCCAGGATAGCAACCAACAGTCTAGTATTAATTGACATAAAATCATATTGAATGCCACAACACAGAAACACACTGTTCGGGTCATCAAGTCTGTGCTGAGTTCTTCCTCAACATTGAGTTACTCCAATTCTCCTGCTCACTCTCCACACCCTTTAATAATCCCTTTTGTCCAAACAACTATCTAATTCACTTGTAAGACATTTACAGACACTGTGTCAACAACAGTTTCTGACAGAGAACTACATATGTTGACCAACCTCTGTGCAAAGGGCTCTGAGATGCTACCCTGCGTGGAGGGCGCTACATAAGTACGAGTTGTTGTTGTAAAGACATTTTAAAGACCTCTACTTTAAATTCTTTTGCAATCTTCGCAACAAATAACTAAGCTTTTCTTGAAAGTGTCAACAGTAATGCGAGACCATCAGAATGTCAAATCATCAGTGACATTTGAACATCCACCTTGTTCTCCCCACTCCCCCGCCCCCCCCACCACCCAAAAATACAATGGATGATAAATGTCAAAATATTTGTGCAACATATGTGACATAGCAATATATCAGATACAATATACAGCGTGTGACACCACTATATCAGACACAACATGTGAAAGAAATACATCAGAGGCAATGGATATATTTTTAAACTAGCAATTGAGCATTAAAGAAAACATGTGAATTACTTCTGACATGGGTCAGACTGTCATTCAAAGCATCTGAAGTAGCTGGTTTTCATACTAATAAGTGTCATCTTATCATCTAAACGGTAATGAACATGAAAAGAGATGACCAGATTAAACCCTGAATGACCACAAACCCAAGCAATTGTGAACATAATAAAAGCTGAAAATATTGACTTAACATGTGATGAATCAAATTCCTTGTGCAATGGAGCAAGGACATTAAAATAATAAAGTTAGAGTTGCAGGAGTAAATGGGTGCTGGAATGTTAAAGGGATCCAGAATGGACTGGGAACGTTTGAGCAATGAAGACAGACCTAAAGAATTATCCTTATTGAAATGTGAGTTGCACAGCTGATTGAAGCTGTTATTAGAAGTTGTTCTAAGATTGAAGCCAAAGTCGTTGTAAGTTAACAACTTCTTATTTTAGAAGTTATTAAGTTACAACAGCTCAACTCACTGTCAGATATCCATGAATCACCTGGACTGTTTACCAGCACAGAGATAAGACGTCTGAGTTCAGTAGCGATGAGGCAATCTCTCATTTGTTCAGACTCAGCTATTCTTTTTAAATCAGACCAATATATATGTCCAATAAAAAATAAATTCACAAACAAACTTTCTTTTTGGAAGAAAATTATATTGTTTTCTACTTTTCTCCACACTGGCATATTCTATACTGAAAAATTACACCTGGGTTTAAATTTACTCTATTTATGTACCATTTCTCCGACCTACTATACCCCTACCTACCCGCCCGTACCCTCCGTTCCTCTGGCTCCGGTCTGCTCCACATCCCCCGCCCCAACCACCCTACCATCGGTGGCCGGGCCTTCAGCCTCTCAGCCCCGAGGCTCTGGAACTCCATCCCCCAGTGCCTTCGCCGCCTCCTCCTTTTCCTCCTTCAAGGCCGGTCTCAAGACCTTTCTCTTTCACCGTGCCTTCAGCTCCCCTCTCGACTCTCTACCCCCTCCTCGCTCCCTCCCTTCCCTCCCCTCACCCTGACCATTTCCCCCCTCCTCGCTCCCTCCCTTCCCTCCCCCTGACCATTTCCCCCCCATGGTTCGGGTCCTGACCCAACTGTCCAGCGCCTTGGGACGACCTCCCAACGTGAAAGGCGCTCTATAAATTGAATCTTGTTGTTGTTGTTTAGAAATTGGCAACTTCTTAAACACAGGAAACCTTTTTCATAGTCAAGATGAATTTGCCAAACTCTGGAAATTCTGAAATGGTAAAAGTTTACACCGTTGGTTTCTTCCCTTCCACATTTCTAAATAGGTCTGCTCAAAATAAACACATAGAATGGAAACAGTGGTTCTATTCCATGAACAGCCAGGAGGCGGGGGCGGTTATAATGATTATACTGCTTATACAATGTAGACTGACTATTAAGCTCTCTGCATAAGCAATTATAATGAATTATAATGTACGGCCCACTTTTTGGGGTTAATCAACTTCAAATCATCAATAAACAAACATTAGATCCCAACCATTAATCCTTCAATGAAAAGATCTGCAGGCATTACCTAAGATCTTAATCACCATCAGGATAGAGTTTAAAAAAAATATGAAATAGAACCCCTCCCATGAATCTAACATATTTACACCGTTGGAATTCTCATAAGAATCCTTGTAATTGATATAGCACCTCTCACTTCAGGAGGATATCTCAAAAGCCCTTTACAAGATTTACTGTCATCACTGAGTATTTTGTAGGCAGAACGCACAGCCTACTTGCATGTAGTAATATCCCTCAAACAGTCAGAAGTGAATGACCAATTTTATTTGGGTAATTGTTGGTCAGGACACTGGAAGATGTGGTCAACATTCCTCAGTCCAATTGCTAATCTTATTAGTGAGCTTTTCTAGTTAATGGAGGAATTAATGTTTATAGCAGTAAATAGGTCATCCTGTTGCATAACTATTGATTTATATGGCAGTAGTCTGCATGGGTGGAAACTGATAACCCCCTGAGTCTGCTCAAAATAAACATAAACAAAGAAACAGTGGAACCGTACAGCTGGGCTGGGGGAATGGGGGGGGCATGATTATAAAGCTTTTACCCTGTAGGCTGACTGTTACACTCTCAATGCAAAAGCAATTATAATGAATTATAATGTACAATCCAGTTTCATGATTACATCACAACTATTATCCTTCAATGCAAAGATCTGCAGGCATTACCAGTAGTGCCACAGTGCTAATTGAGTATTAATAATAATCCTTACATTTCATATAGTGCCTGCCACGTCAGGAGAATGTAAAGTAACCTTGATCATAACCAGGACCTTACAGTAGGATATGCTGTAAAGTGTAGTGACCATGTATTTGTAGGCAAATGCAGCAGCTAATATCCACACAGCAATATCCCACAAACAATCACAGAGTGAACAATTTTATTTGGGGGATTGTTGTCCAGGACACTGGGAGAAACTTCCTTATCTTTTCGAATAGTGCCATGGGATTGTTAACGTCCACCTGACAGGAATTTCCAATTATGGTCTGATCTGAAGGCCGGGACTACTGACAATATAGTACACCCACAGCTTTGCACTACAGCGTCAACTCAGACGATGAGCTCAAAGTCCCAATATGAACAGCAACCTACTGACTCAGAGGCAAGCGTCCTGCTATCTGAACCAGGCTGAGACCTGTTGAAGCATGTCCCCACACCAGAGGACAACCATTGCCTAGGGAACCGTAACCCGGTGTCCCCTTGTTCTACACTTTTGACCATGATATGATCATGTATTATCAGGGTATAGTTATTGGCTGCTGAGTTTTGCCCACAAAATATAGTCAATTCATGTTACAGTATATTCTGTGAAGGCGCTATATCAAATGCAAGGATTATTATTATAGTTATCTGTGTTCTTTGGGATCTTGATTATTTCAATTAGATCTTCCCTTGAGTTTGATGTGCTTTAGAGCAAACATTTGCAGATTCCACAGCATCTGCTGGTAACTCAGGTGCCAGCTATGAATCTAGCTGCCCTTTGCTGTACCCTTCCAATGCCAACAATATAATACAATTTACACCCTCCACTCTTCGCTTCAGATTAAAAGGTCTATTTGATAGCGGAGTTACACTCAAAATGGACTGTGAACCTCAGGCGTGTCACCAGAGGACCCATGGAACAAACTTGGGATGCTTGTTTACAGACAGGAAGCAAACACCTCGCAGTCCTGTAGCTCAGTGGTTAAAGCACTCACCTCACAAGCGAGACCTGAATTCAATTCCTGGCAGGGCGAAACCTTGGGCAAGTTTCCTTACTCCAAACGCCTGATAATAATCCCTCAAGAAAAAAACCAATAATAATTTGGTCACTTCAATCCATGACTGTTTGTGGACACTGCTGTGCGCAATTGGCTGCCTCGTTTCACCCACAAATATACAGTCAATTCACTTTACAGTATATTCTATTCTATGAAGCGCTTTGAGACGTCTAGAAAATGTGAAAAGCACTATACCAAATTCAAGGATTACTATTATTAGTACAATCAAGGCCAGCCTGCTCTACACAGCTCTTATAAATCAGAACCAAGCCCGTCAGACGCTTGTGTATCCTGTTAGCCGGGGAACAGCGCATGACACAAGATGATCAAAACAGTATGATTTACATTTATAATAATAATAATCATGGCATTTGATATGGCGCCTTAACACGTCGTTGAGATGTCTCAAATCGCTTCACAGAATATATTGTAAAGTGAATTGACTGTGATTTTGTGGGCGAAACATGGCAGCCAATTATACATAACAGTTTTCACAATCATGGATTGAGTAACCAAATATTTTTGAGGGATTATTACCCCCGGATAACAATTCGCCAATCGCCTAGCCACCAGGTTCCTACGTACTACTAGGTAAACAGAGGCACGTGGAGTAAGGAAACTTGCCTAAGGTTTTGCCCCGCCAGGGAATCAAACCCAGGTCCTCTCGCTTGCGAAGAAAGTGCTTTCTACTACGCTACAGGATTCCACATGTTGCACATTTCACATCTGGTGGATGTCTCAAAGCGCTTAACATAGCAAACTGGTCACCGAGCACTGGCGGAGGTGCTGTTGGGGGAAGGGGTGAGGTGAAAATCAAGGGATGCAGAAGATTTGATAGCTAAATAGATAATGCTGCTTTTAATAATTGAACATGAACTTTACTCTCAGCAGAACAGTATTCAGAAATAAATAATCAAAACTCATTAGAATAAGGATTGATTCCAGCCAGCTGGGTTGGCACCAGTACCTGAGAAGCTCTAAAGAGTTCAGAATGTCCTTGGAGCAGTGTTACAAACATCACTCTTATTTATTCTCGACATTTTTTCACATCAGATTCCTTCCACAGTACATGTATTGCAGGTGTATTCCACAAAACAATTTCCATTGTTTAACAAGTAATTGTGCGATGGACTGGAGAACACATTAAATCAGATAAAATGGGAACGCAAGATAACATGTACCTGCATTCCACACAAAGTTCAATGTTCTCCTCTGGTCATACCAGCAAATATTCTGTCCAAATTTTATTCAATCCCTTAACTGAAGCTGCCAACCCTTGGAGGTTCACTGCACACGAGAGTCCTTGTCCATTTGACCTTTCGTCTTGTATGAACCCAGGCAACAGGCATCAGGAAGGAAGGTATGAAATCCTCAAAAATATATCCCTGCTCTCTCCACTCAGTGTCCATCATCATTTCTGCATCAGGCATTTGGAGTAAGGAAACTTGCCCAAGATTTCACCCTGCCGGGAATCAAACCCAGGTCTCTCACTTGCAAAGCAAGTGCTCTTGACACATTACTCTAGGTCATGGTGCGACCCCCGGCTCCAACTGATTTCATCCGGCCCGCCAACCATTTCCAACTTCAATGTCCGATGAGCAAATATAGGCAACTTGTAAGCTCCAAGCCAATCAGGAGATGGTCACTGGCAATTCAGACTCTGCGTGGCAACAGGACTGGTGTAACTGGCCAAGCAGGATATAATATTGTCTCCTCGGCCAGCGGTTTCTCAATTCGGGTATCAGGCCCTCAGCAGCCAAAACATGTGACCGTATGAATGGCACTATCTAAATGTAATTTGTTACAAGTGCATGTGTGCTCAACTATGCTCATGGGGAATTGCTTTCGTGTATAGTGATTATGCATTTGTAGGCGAAGGAAAAAATAATAATAATAATCCTTGCATTTGATATAGCGCTTTTCACGTCTTCCAGACGTCTCAACAGGCTTCACAGAATAGACTGTAAAGTGAATTGACTGTATATTTGTGGGCGAAATACAGCAGCCAATTGCGCTCAGCAGTGTCCCACAAACAGTTGTGGACTGAAATGACTAATTTATTATTGCTTTTTTTTGAGGGATTATTATCAGGCATTTGGAGTAAGGAAACTTGCCCAAGGTTTCACCCTGCCGGGAACCAAACCCAGGTCTCTCACTTGCAAAGCAAGTGCTCTAACCACTGAGCTACAGGACTTCACATAGCCAATTTGTTCACCCAACAGCTTCTTCATGGCTGTGTGGGGGACATTGCTGTGTGCAGATTTGTGCATCAGTCTGGGTCAGTTGGTGGCACTCGCTCCTCCCAATCAAAAGATTGCGGGTTCAGGGATCACGTCAGGATTTTGAACTCATGTAGTCCAGGCTGACATTCTAATGCAGTGCTGGGGGTGTGCTGCATTGTTCAAGGTGCCGTCCTTCGGATGAGATGATAAAACTGATATGCTGTCTGCCTGTTCAGGTTTGTATTAAATATCCAATGGTGCTTTTCAAACAGAGGAAGGAGGTTTCTCCCAGTGTCCTGGTCAACAATCCCCCAAATATAAACTGGTCACTCACTTCATGGCTGTTCGAGAGACATTGCTGAGCACCTATTGCCTACCAGATTCACCGACAAAAATACAGTCACTCCATTTTATAGTAAATCCCGTAAAAGCTTCAAAACATCCTCTTGGCATGAAAGGCACTGCATCAAATGTTCAATTCGCTGCCTTGGTTACCTACAAAAAATAGTCACGACACTACAGTGAATCCTGTGCAGCGCTTTGAGGTAGCCTCAAAATATGTAAATTATTATAGAAACAGGAAACCGATCAGTCCATACTCCTGTTCCACATAAGATATTGTCACAATATCCAGAAAGAGTGTACAGTGGAGAGATTCATGGTATCCATAAAGTACTCTTAACCTCCCCGCCCCTGTTACAAGACAGCGATATGAGACTACGGAGGAGCTGAAACAAGCCTCGTTATGGAAGATGTCGTACCGAACATGTCGATAGATTATTATCTGCCATGTAAATGATGGCGCTCACATCGATCCTCTGGACGTCTAAATAGAGTTACTTGTACTGAACACAATTAAATACTTATAAATACAATTATCATCATTCTTCCACATGTTTCAGTTGTTCATCAGTACACTGTAGAGAGAGAGAAAAAAAGATAACAGATCTTTGTGGACACCCTGCTTATTCGACACTTCTGTGTGAAGGCAAACAGCTCCAATTAAAGTGAACCAAGAGGAATCCCTCAATTTTCACTTTAACAACTACTTGCATTTGTGTAGTGCCCCTCACACAGGGTAACATCCCAGAGTGCTTGACAGCGGCAAAGCACGATGCCGAGTCAAGAGGGTGAGGTGACTGTAGACACAGTTGAAAAGGAAGCTCTCCAGGCATGACTTGAAGATTGGGAAGGAAGGGGCATGGCGGAGAAATACAGGAAGAGTGTTCCAGAGTTTCGGGGCATAGTGGCTGTTTGAAGAGATAAAGTGAAGGCGGTTGGTTAAGTAGGACTCGAACCAGACCAGTGTGGTCCCACTAAGGTGGATAAGAGAGGAGAGGCAGTGGAGGAGGATGGCGTGGTCGACTGTGTCGAATACGGCAGAGTGGTTCAGGAGGATGAGGAGGCAGACAGAGGGAGCCCTGGTCACAGATAGAGAGGATGTCATTTGTCACCTTTACAAGCGCTGTCTTTGTGCTGTGCGTAAAACAGACTGGAGAGGCTCGAGGAGGGAGTGGAGGGAGAAGTGAGAGCAAAGCTGGTTAGCAACAATGCGTTCCAGAGCTTCGGCAAGGAAGGGCATGTTGGAAATGGGATGGTAATTTGTGAAGTTGGAGGGGTCAAGAGTGTTTTTTTTGAGGGGAGTGATGACAGCGGTTTTAGGGAGGAGAGGAACAGAACCTGAGGAGAACAACTGGTTGACTGTGTCGGATAGCAGCGGGAAGGAGCGGGTGCTGGATGACCAGAAAATGGGTGGAGAGTGGGTCAAGGCAGCAGGTGATCGGCTTCATCTGGAAGATAGTGGTTGAGAAAGGGGGAGTAATCAGGGCAAAGGAGTGTGGGGGGGAGAGGAAATTCACATGAGATTGATTGAATCATTTGTACCTGCAAGTACATTCATCAGGCCTCTTTCAGAAATAGTATTTCTAGTGCTGATTTCCAAAGTTGCCATATGAACAGCCTTTCAAATAGCTGTTTTCTCAACGCAAAACTTGTTTCAGCAATACAGTACAAGTCTCTGAACATCCCTCTCCCATTACTACCACCCACACTCACCCCTTGCAATAAATAACTCTGCAGCAAAAAGGCTCCTCTTAAAATGAATAACCTCAATTTTCTCCCACTGGCATATGCCTTGAATAGAACTTGTTAGCTGGATCACCATTTATTATAAATGTGCGTTTTTCTTGGGAGTGCAGACCTTTGTAAGAAGATCCAAGTTCATGTGGTCTGAACCTTTTGACCAGTGATCTCTGGGGATTCAGATAGATTGTCCAGTGTAAGCACTGCACAGTGGATTATTGCACTTTTGTGAAAAAAACAAATTATTTAAAAGCCAAATCGCTGAAAATAAAATTTTGGCCACAGGTGGGAATGACTCGTGTCAGAGAAAGAAAGCCTCTCATTTTACATAGCCCCTTATCATGTCATTGAGATGTCTCAAAGCGCTTCACAGAATATATTGTAAAGTGAATTGAAGTGTATTTTGTTGGCAAAATGCTGCAGCAAATTGCGCACAGCAGTGTCCCACAAAGTCGTGGATTGAGTGACCAGATTTGTTTTTGAGTCGGGATTATTACCTTCGCCAATAGATGGGGGGGAAAAAAAAGGAAAATAAGAGCTGAAGTGTATGCTTTAACAAATGGGGCTGAAAGAAAAATTGGTTGTATAAAGTACCCCGACACGGCAGTTTGCATGGCCACCTTTGAAACTGAAACCAACAGCTGCATGGGTGAGCAACGATCGCCTCGCACCAACGCACCTTACATTCCCATCTTCAATGCTCGTCAAAAGCTGGATCCCAGGAAAAAAGCTTAATTGCATCTTTCCTCTCGGTGGGAGGAAATGTGCTTGTATGTGTGTGTGTGTGTGTGTATGTATGTATGTATGTGTGTGTATGTGTGTGTGTGTTTGTGTGCATGTATATATTTTAAAAAATACAAGGAAAATGTTTACACTTCATCTTTTCAGTCGAGTTTATTTGTTTCATTGAGATAATAATAATATTCCTTGTATCTGACATAGAGCCAGAGATGGATTTATGGAATTCCATGTCCCTTAAGATTTATAATCGTAACGAGGAGATTGTTCTATTGCCAAATTTTTAAATAAAAAAAAGGAAACGGTTTGTCATCGTTAACTCTGCGATGCTGTAACTGGCATCTAACGCCACCGTGTGGCCAGAAATAATAATCTGTGTCCTCAGATTATCCCTTTTCTAGAACAATGCTCGAGAAAATGGCGGCCGTTAATACCATTGGAAAATGGAGGACCGTCCAGATAAAAACCCGGATCAACGGCGAGCACGATGCTGCAGGAGTGGACGGGAAGGCACACATCCTTTAAATATGCAAATTGATCAAGTATTGACATAGAACTACTTCACAACTGCCTGTAACTATTGACACTGACAGAACTATAATATTTCACTCCATGTTCATACGCACTTTTCCCATAATTTCTCTGCTATTCCGATCATGGGCGGAAACCTAGATTACCATTGTATTCTAAACAGAAATAATTGGTTTAAAAAAAATGGATTCATATCTGATCTCAGCATCACGGTGCAGTTCAACACAGGACCAGTGGCAGTGCAATGCAGCACTGAGACCCAGGGTTGGATCCCATGAGATACGTTATTGTGGGGAGATACTAAGGGAGGCTCCTAGAGTGGTTGAGGCCAGGACACTTCCTTCATTTAAAAAGCAGCTTGAAATTGTGATGGGAGAACGATAGAGTGTGTACAATGGATGGTTGCGATTAGATGGGCTAAAGGGCCGACCGACTTCATCCAAACCAATCTTGTGGGAGACTGCGGGAAAATTCACAGTCCTCTCACTGAGCCGCTCTTCCACACCCCCAAGTGGCCAATCAAGAATCTCTCAGCTGCAAAAAGCAAATCAGTCAAATCACCAACACATTCAAAGTTGGATTTTTCCCAGTGGTTAATTCACATAATAACTTGAAATTTATATACTGGCTTTGACATAAAAAAGTATTCTTGAAGCCCTTTACAAAACAATATTGATAAAGAATCAAAGTGAATGTTGTTCTAAAGGCAAACACAGCAACCAATCTGCATCAAATT